GGACCGGCCCCGCCCCGGCCCCGCCCCACGCGTGTCCTGCGCGGGGGGACCGTGGGGCACCAGGAGGGGTCGGGGGAGAGCGCCCCGCAGCCCGAAAGGGGCAGCCGGGTCCCCTCCCGGCGCTGCTCCCGCAGGGCTGCCCCGTGCATCCCCTCCGCGCTGGGCAGCCCGTGCCCCGGTCACGCTCCTGCCGAGGAGCACGTCCCTGTGTCCAGAGGGACCCTCCCGGGCTCTGGTCCTGGCACTGGGCACACTGGGAAGAACTCCATCCTCCTGACTCCGTCGTCCTGGCATCCCCAGACGTGGGTATTCCTCCCCAGAGCCCTCCTCTGCTCCAGTCCCAGCTCACTCGACTTCTCCCCACAGCAGATGCTCCAGTCCCTCAGCATCTTGGTGGCCCCTCATCAGGCTCTCCCTGGGCTAAGTCCCCTGTACTGGAGACCCCAGCACTGGACTCAAGTCTGGCCTTACCAGCACTGAGCAGAGAGAAACACCCCCTCCCTCCACCTCCCAGCAACACTCCATCACTGGGTCATAGTAACCTCAGTACCCACCAGGACCGCAGGGCCTTTTATGCAGAGATGCTTTCCAGCTGTACTGGTGCTACAGGGGTGTTCCCTCCTCAGAGGCAAGACTTCCCCTCACTGAACTTCACCAGTTTCCTCCAGTTTACTTCTCTAGCCTGTTAAGGTCCCTCTGCACTGTGGAGGTGTCACCAGCAAATGTGCTGAGGGGATGCTCAGCCCAGTCCTCCAGGTGATTCATAAAGATGTTGAGTTTAACCAGACCCAGTATTGACCCCTGGGGTACCCCAGTAATTACTGCCCTCCAACAAGACTTTGTGCCACTGACCACCAGGCTCTGGGCCTGGCCACACAGAACCTCACTGTCTGCTCTTCCAGCCCACACTTTCACAGCTGCGCCGGGAGAATCCTATGTGATGCAATGTTAAAACTCTTCCTGAGGTTTGGGTAGACCATGCCCACCACACTCCCCTCCCTTGCCAGGCCATCACCTCGCTGCAGAAGCTGTCCAGCTCAGCCAGGTACAATCCCTCTGGTGAAAGCAATTATTCTCCTGTTCTTCACTGCCTTAGAAACGGTTCCTGGGATTTGTCGTCTCCCCAGGGGCAGAGTCGAGGTGGAACCCCTGCACCTGCACTGGCTCCCCCCCCCAATGCTTAAGCAGCCCACCGCATTCAAAGAACCCCACGTACAAAAGCAGAACCCCTTACACACACAGCCCCCGTTTACCCAAGCAGCCCCCCATACCCGAACACCGCCCCCATCCCCCGTACAAGTTAACCGGAGGCCCTGGCGCTGCCCTGGCTCCCGGAGGAGTTGGCGCAGCCCGGGCTGCACCAGCGGGGTCACCCTCCC